CGTCAGCTACAAGAACCCTGTGCGCTGTACGGTGCTGCCATCTCGTTCATGCATAAACAAAGAGTACCCGCGTATTTTAAGTTCAAACGCATGTTTCTTTCTGCACCCGGTCCCCAGAAAAAAATTAGGAGACCTTAGAACTTGAACGCACCTCGTAAATAATTGCTGATGGCAAGGAGAACTGGGCTACAAAATGTTCCTTTGTGTTAGTGCAGGCCGGAATGCAGAATGACGGTTGGACTATTTGGTCATCGTCAGTCTGCAATTAAGGTGTTAATATTCAGGAGGCGAAAACTGCGAGAAATTATGCTTGAAATTATGATTGGCAAACTTTTTCACCGGAAAATATGGCGAATGCTATGCAAGCAGTTAGGAACAAGGAAATGAGCTACGAAGATGCTGCAAAAACCTACAGTGTACCGCAAACAACTCTTGAGAACCGTGCAAAACAGCTTGGCTTGCAAAGGAAGCAGAACACTAAATTATCGGCAGGTTCAAGCTGGTGTTCACGAAAGAACAAGAACTCATTCTTTTTGGTCCCACCCTTGCTATGGACAATCGGCTATTTAGTTTCACGCCGAAGGACCTGAGAAAGTTGACATACCAACTTGCAGAGCGGAACAAGTTGCCCTGCAAATTCGGTCATGAGTCTGGTTTGGTGGAAAAGGATGGGCTCCAGGGCTTCATGAAGCACAATCCGAGGCTCTCGCTTCGAACACCTGAGACGACCTCAGCTGCCAGGGCTTCAATGGGTCTGTTGGCCTGTTCTTCATTTGTTAGTGGGGATCATCGATGAACATCACTCACACCTGACAAAATATTCTACGTATCTATAGATGAAACATGCAAGAGACAAAGCCCTATAAGCAAAATCAGTTCCATGGACGAATCACGAAACGTACCTAGCTTATGACATGGAAAAGCAAAGGCATATAGCCTGAGGGACTACCTAGCCTATGTCCTTGAGTGGCAAAAGCTTTATAGGCCAGAGGCTACACCTACCATGAATCTCCTTAGCGTATTCTAATATACAGGGTGCGCACAAAGTCCGTATACCCCCTATATGTACGTCAAGCTGACGCGAGTAATCATGCCACGTTTGTGCTGGTGACCTTCGCACGACCTTGGCACGTGTTCTCCCGCTGTCACAAGGTCTGCTTTCGTACGTACCAACAATCGCAATGCGTGGCGGCAGATGAAAGTCGAAGCGATGGCTGACACAAGTGATTACACAATTGACCTTCGCACGACCTTGGCACGTGTTCTCCCGCTGTCACAAGGTCTGCTTTCGTACGTACCAACAATCGCAATGCGTGGCGGCAGATGCAAGTCGAAGCGATGGCTGACACAAGTGATTACACAATCGAGGAGCGTTTGGTGGCCGCTGTGTGGGTCCATGAGCGTCAAATTAACGGCACATCAATAAAAAAAATGTCATGGACGACTTCGTTGCGCGGTTTGAGAAGGCAGCACCGACAAAGAAGATCACAATCGAGGAGCGTTTGGTGGCCGCTGTGTGGGTCCATGAGCGTCAAATTAACGGCACATCGATAAAAAAAATGTCATGGACGACTTCGTTGCGCGGTTTGAGAAGGCAGCACCGACAAAGAAGACGTTGTTGCAATGGGAAAAGAAGGCTTTTGCAACGGGCAGTGCTCGCGACGCGCCGAGAAGTGGACGACCATCCACAAGGCTTGAACGTTATTCAACAAACGATCAACTCAAAAATGCGGTGCGCGCAGCCTTCCAGAAAGTGACCCCAAGAATGCTGATTAACATGAACAACAGAACTTGGTGGCGCATTCGGCTATGCAGAGACCACGGAGGAACACATACGGATGTTTTGGATTCCTAAGAGGTACGTTCCACCTTTTGTGATACGTATATATAGGGGTATACGGACTTTGTGCGCACTCTGTACATGAGTGCTACTGCTGGCAAGGACTCCAACCATCCCTTTCTCAGGATATCCTGTACTTTTCTGCGCTAGAATACAAAAATTGTACGACAGATTGAAAGACAGATGAGAGAATAGTGACCAGAAATTGAAAAATTGGACTAAGAAAACACTTGGTGCGAGTTGCAAAGTTGTTTGCGAGTGGCCAGTTCTAGGATCAATCCCGACATCGATTCATTGATCCAGCAGGAACAGTGCCAAGTTTCGCACTCACTTTATTAAAAGTATTTTTTTTAACTAATTTTTCAATCTTTGCCTAAGACCCTAGTAACGAAAAAATGTGTTCTCAAAATTTGCAGAAAAACGAGAGGGGGTGACGGGACCTCTCCTTTGAACGTAGGGCATTTCAGGCCAAAGTCAGACATTTTGATTTGGCCCTCTGCCAATAATGGTTGCACACCCCTGGCTCATATAGTTATTAGCCATCTGGGGATTGAGTGATAGAGTTGAGACCATGATGAACCACAAGCTAATTCTAAACGTCAGGAAATTTTCGAAATTATGCGGATACTTCTATAACCATATGAAATACCTTCAACGCGAACACTTTGAAGACAACGGAAAGGCAAATCGAATTGTGATGGTAGGGACTCAAATGAATATCAAGTAGCTTGAAAAGGGCGTATAGGATATTGTAAAAGACATCTGCCACGTCAATCACCAAAGATGGGATGTATCCTCGTCAGAATGTGTGTTCCCTGCGAGACATCAGATTCATCTTTCTAACGCCATTGTATCCTGGTGGGACGAAACAGGGTGTCCCGCAAGAGTTTTCAATGTGCTTATGCATCAGTGTTTTATTGGTTCAGGCCAGTAATTATTATTGAAAAGGAAGAAAACTGAAGCAAAACGACGTAACGAGCACGCACGATGAATGCAGAATTAACTAATCCACTACAAAAGGCTGTCTGAAAATTTCAAGGAAACTGGATATGTCGAGCTCAATCAGACAACCAACTGTAACTCAAATATAAACTTTTGGATATATGTGCTTCAATGATCATGAGTTCCAAGAAATGTTAGGCACCTTTCTCAACAAAGTAGCATCGGCAAATGTTCTGCGCACAAAACTCCTTGCCAGTGATGGAAGCTGAGACTTAAAAAAAAAGAGGCTTTTCATGAACTCAATATGCCATCGACTGCAACAAAACATTTGAATTTCTGTGAATGGCTCTTGACGGAAAACGACAAACAAAACAACGTCCAACGGCTTAGTCAATCTGTGCTTGAAGATAGCCGATAGGAATACCCTGTGGAAACAGTGGGAAAAGTGGTTAAAAATGTTCGCTTGGCTCAGTTACAAACAAACTTTGGATACTTTCAACACCTGCTATAATATTTCCATTCCATAATCCATCGACCGTACAGTCCAACGAATTAATGATACATCTATGCATTTGGGAACTCTGCGAGCATCCTGTTTAAGGACCAGAATTACAGCGTCTTACACGTGAAGTAAAGACAAGGAGCATGAATACTTCTTTTAAATATGAAATTCACAGTTATGGAAACCATAGGGGAAGCTTAGGTCTCTGGATTTCGTACTCCCCTCAGGACGCTCAGTGGGATACTTCTCAAACCATCGCATCCATCCTGGCGGATTGGGCTCAGAGGCTGGTCCAATAATCCCAGAGCTTGTCCCTGCTTCATCTCGTACGTTTTATGAAAGATCTCCTGCGTGAGTTTCAGTGGCAACCTCCCCGTCATTTTGCTCTTGTCAGTCTTTTCCTTCTCCATAAACATCTGCAACAAGGCATATGCATCAGGATTAGAGCTGTATCGGCTGCCGGTTTTGCCCTGTCGGCGCCATCGGCATCAGCCAGTTTGCAAGCTGCCGATGTCTAAAGGAGAGGCAAAACTAACGAAAATAAATTAGAATGAACGTGTGAACCCGAAAATATCAATGGAATTATGTTTCGGCCCTATTCTAGGTAATAGCGGAGAAAAATAGCGGTAAAAAACGGGAAATCGTAGTCCCTCCTTTTAGGTTATGCATTTGTTAGAAATGTGTCGTTAGATGCTCTTAGCATTTTGCGTGCCGCTCAAGGAGATCTCCGTTTTTTACCTCCTTTCGCGCGTCCTTTTGCCTAGCCGATTGCAGAAAAAGCCATAGCCCGGTAGGCATCGAGCTTAAGGTTAAGATAACTGAGGCTTAAGTCAGAGCGGGGGATCGATGGGGTAAAAGACCGGTACGCAATGTGTTAACAGCAGAAATAGCAACAAGCTAACCTGACGGACAGACAGTACTAAATACGGACTTAACCGTTTTTAGGGGGTCCCCTGAGAAGTGCCACATGGTTTTCAAATAGGCCTATATGAATTAATATGCATTTTCATGTTACTTCTCGATTTTCAGACAGCAATTGGCACCGGCCGATGGTTATGAGATGAAAATTGGCATCGGCCCACCGGCCAAAGGTTGCCATCAGTACAACCCTAGTATAAATCCTCCATATTAGTGTATTAGGTAACTAATTTTTAGAAATTTATTGAACATTCGTTACTTTCAGTGTTTCAGAAGAGTGAATAACCGTGAGGAAATTTGAACCGACATTGAACCAATCAGGAGTCGGCGCTGTGGCCTTTCCTGTATAAAGTGACCAAAAAGTTTCGGGCTGACAGTGCGGGAGTTGCACTGTGATTTCCCTTTCCTTTCATTGTTTTCTTATTACCTGACATCTTGCTACCTTTGAAAGATCATATGTAATCGTCCGAATTGATTTTCTTCCTCCAAACTATGCGCATGTGACAAAAAATAGATTACAAATTCGACGAAAACCATTACGCTTGAAATCAAGATTTTCGACCCCGTTAGATCGTGTTCTTGAGCTGTACACGAGTTTATGAAGAAAATGAATATAAAATACCATTTGTGAATTATTTGTATACGAAGAGCGTTAGAAAACAATGAGGTTATGAGTTATTCAAGAGCGAATTTTTCGAATCCGAAAATTTTGTAATAATTTTTCAAATAATCAGGCTCTGGATTAATGTTTCACCCCATCCCATATCTCTGCAAACACATCAAGCCGACTCGTCGAAAGCTGTTTCAGCTGCATTCAACGGTATTCATGAATACGATTCTGTCCTGAAAATGCATCACTCTTTGGAGGGTTATAATTGAGTTTAGGTAGATCCGAAAGTCGCCAGGAGCGAGATCTGGGCCATACACGATGGATGAGGAAAAGTGCAAACGCACTTATTCTTCCAAGAGTTCGCCACACCACATACATTAACACCACAAAACAATCTGAATCTTTTGATCTATATGATCAAACATAAATTCAAGAAGGTTGTATGCTCCAGAAGACTGACAAGAAGAATAAGTCAGTAAGTTGAAGTCATAGGTCACAGACGTTTTGAATTTTTCTTCACGAAAGATCAGCAAATTTATTCTTCATTAAATGTCATATACATTTGCTAACGTTTCTACGTTTGCTTTGCTTTGTGACCAGTATCATGAGAACTAGACCTGTGAATGGAAGTTCTTCTAACCCTTCTGTACTTCTAATTAGGGATATGGAAATTAACATTTTTGAAAAGGTAAGAGATCGCTTTATTTTAGGGCTATCAATTGATTAGATTCATCAGTCGAATCATCGATTAAATTTCTCATCGCGATTTTAGAAATTAATCGAAATTAAACGAATTTAAACCGACCATCCCAAATCTCCCCATAAATACCTCTTTCTTCTCTTAAAATTTGTGTAATGCATAGTCTTGTAAAGCAACCGAAAATTAATGCTTTGTCAAGGAGATGAAATGAAATGATGACTTGTAGAAGATTGTCGTTTTCGGATTCCTAACTCTTTTAAAAAAAAATTACCTATTTTTGGATGAAGGAAACAGAAACAAAGCCACCGTTTCCAGAATGCTAAATTAAGAAATAGAAACAAAATTCGAAATGAAGAAACTGCAAAGAAACGCGCGGACGGAATAGGGGATTCGGATGAGGATCATATGTGGTAGGAGCGGCAGAAAGGAAGATAATAGTGAGATTGGGGAGTGAGAGGCAGAGCCGTACCCAGGGGGCTAAGAGCGGTGCGCCCACACAGGACGCCGAGAGTCTGCTAAATCACAATAAAATATGAATGAAACTATAATAGAAAGGAAAATTATCCTGAATTTAACTAAACAATTATTACGTAATGCAATGTTGGTGCTGGAGAATCTGGAGAGATATAGAGTGAGGGGGGCTGGATTGATATCTCGCACAGGGCGCCAAATATCCACGGTATGGGGCTGCCTGTAACCCCCCCCCCCCCAACTTTTTCCATCCACACTAAGCTTATGTTTGGAAGAGATAGTCCACGAATGAACATTGCATCCGTGTTAAATTTGTAGTCAACAGAACAAAAATATATATATTATTAGCTGCGCTCTGCTGTAGAAATCGTGGTGTGGAAAAAGAACGCAATACGGAAGACGGTGATTCGAAGAAAGAATGTTAAGACAGGCCATGGGCTTTTTTTCAATGTTGCAAGTGTCTGACACACTTGTCATTTGAGACCAACGACATTAACTCACTGGATGTTTTCCGGGAGGTATGCAAAAGTCACCAGGGGGAGCACAACTATTCTCATTAGGATTCCACCAAGTACCTTCTTGGCATTCCTGAGGAAGAAAACATGAGATTCGCGGTAAGGAAGTGACCTTAAATGCCGTGAAGGTGTATCACCATTTGACGGAGTGCGTCCTGGAACTCACATATAGAGTGGGTATTCCATCCGTGCATAGGTAGAAGTGTTCACATGATTCAGGGTCAGGGAAATATCCATCAGGTTCAGGACATTGGAATCCCCCGCTGCTAGTTGTGGCTTCCGTCGACGAAGTCGTGGTATCCGTCGACGAAGTCGTAGTATCTGGGGACGAAGTCGTGGTATCCGTCGACGAAGTCGTAGTATCTGGGGACGAAGTCGTGGTATCCGTCGACGAAGTTGTGGTATCCGTCGGTGGAGTGGAGGTTGTTCTAGCTGACGGAATGGAAATCAATTCGCCGTTCTAATTAATAATCAATCATCATTGTAGTATGCATTGATGTGACTGATTTTGAAAAGACAAGGTAGGCCCAAAAGTTTCGAGACTCGGGTCACCCCGAACGTTGCGCTGTATACCAAAAAACAAATGTTGATGAGCGTAACTAGGATTTCACCGTACACTCTTAGAAAAAGGGGAGCGATTTTTCTCAAAAAAGAGAGTAAAATAGCTAACTCCAGTTTCACCCCCCTTTGACTCTGGGAAAGGAGCGAATTTACTCCATCACCAAGAAGTAAAATTGCTCTCCGCCTCAATGAGTAAAAACGCTGCCCTCAGAGAGTGATTGGGATATCATGCAAATAAGAATATTCTCAAATACAGGGTGTCCCACTCGCTTTGGTACCCGAAAAAGCGCGAATAACCTTTAAACTATTGAACGTATTACAACGAAATTTGAACTGCACGTACCTTACTCTATGACAATCAAAACGATGTCACAACATATGTTAGAAATGTCCGCCGTTTGCATCCAAGCATGCTTGG